AGTTTTTATGTGTAGCGTTGTTGCTGCTTTAAGCCTTGGCATGCATTTGGAGTATTAATTTTGTCCATTATCGGACACAAAACGAATAAAATACTTCGAATATTTTACTAAGTTTTACTAAGTTAAGTAGAGACAGTAAATGACTGAAACCCAGGAATGAATTTGATTGGGAATTGAAACACAGTCAGGAAAGTATATACATATTCTTAATAAATGGCATTTAAAATCAATCTTAAAACAAGTAAAAAAGTGATCAACATTTTCCCAGCAACATATCTAAGTTACTGCGCGGGTGCATTGGGTTGGCGCACCAAGCCATTTGCGTAACACTGCGCCAACTCCTAAAAATTCACTGAGTTGCCCAGGCCTACCAATAGCGCTACTCCGTCGAACACAAACAGCAAAATGACTTCAAACGCACTTTTAAGGGGCCTTAACTAGTCGATCATATCAAAATTGGCAAATTACATCAAGAACATTGAGTTATTTAATAAAACTTGATTTATAGATGCGGAACCAAATCATATTTTTGCAGGTATATACAAGTTTGTCCCAAAGTACAAGACAGTGGGCGGAATTAATGCACCCAAACGCATCGAGTGTCTTGGAATGTCCGGTAAAACGTACCTGCAGCTGGTGAAGGGCCAGGACGACTTGCGGCAGGACGCTGTGATGCAGCAGGTGTTTCGAATCATGACCGATCTGCTGGCTTCGAACAAACAAACGAAAAGTTTGCATATACGCACGTACAAAGTGGTGCCGCTCTCGATGAGAAGCGGCATTTTGGAATGGGTTGCCAACAGTATGCCCATCGGCGATTATCTGTCTGGGAGCAGCGAGTTGGGCCTGATTGGGGCCCACAGGGAGTTCCGGCCTAAAGACGAGACGCCCAGTAGATGTAAAATGCTGTTTAAGGTAAAGTTGATCGGACGACGTTTCGGCCTATTAAAGCATCCACTGCTTGTAGGATTGCCACCGAAAGTCCAACGATGTGAAGCTGAGCACTTACCTGGAAATTTGCGAAGCAATCCAGCCAGTGTTTCACAAATTCTTCGAGACTCACTTTAGACAACCGTCGGTCTGGTACGAGCGACGAAGAGCTTACATTCACAGTGTGGCCACTACCAGCATGTGCGGATTCGTGCTGGGACTTGGAGATCGACACGTTAGCAACATTTTAATCGACAAACAAACCGCCGAAGTGATTCACATTGATTTCGGTTAGGACTTGGTGATTTCCCCTAAGATTTTGCGTTAATTTTCCTTGTTTTTCCTCAGGCATCGCCTTTGAGCAGGGCAAGTGCCTACCGACACCGGAACAAGTACCGTTCCGTCTAACCAGAGACATAGTGGATGGAATGGGCGTGTCGGGCATCGAAGGTCTTTTTCGCAAATCGTGCGAAAAAACCATGGAAGTGTTGCGGTCGAATGCGCAAATCATTCTCACGATTTTGGAGGTTTTGCTGTACGATCCGCTGTATTTTTGGACTGTATCGGCGGCCGAGGCCACCAAGCGCCAAACCGAAGCGCCCAATGAAACATACAAGTCCATAGCTGATGAGCTGGAAGAAGGTACAGATTTTTTTCATTTGTGAGTTTGCTCAATATTCTGAACGCAATTTGCATGCTTTTGAGCTGAAAGTTTATAGACATCCAAAGGCTAACCAGGACTGCGTTCTTTTTCAGTTTTTTTGAAAGTTCCAATCGCCTCGAAACAGTTCCTGAAACGTTTGAAAACATGCCGTGAGAACTATCTTTGACCAGTTGGTACATTCTTGCAAATCCTAACCTCCAAAGAGATAGAAGTCAAAATGTGCTCTAAACTTAAAACAAACTGTATCTGAGAAACTGCAGGAGAGCCTCTAAGTCGAGGGAAGATTTTTAGAGGGCGTCTCGCCAAATGTTATTAGCCAATTTAGCAAATTTTCTAACCTGAAAACTGGTAAAGCAAAACATTTATTAATTCTTGTACATTTTGATCTGTATCTCGGAAACGCTCGGCAATATTTCAATAAGGATTAGAACGTTTTCAAAAGAAATTAAAAGAAAGCCTTCCGCTGATCGTATGTTTTGTCAGAAATTTCTAACCTCCAAAGAGTACAAGCAAAAATAGGAAAATTTCTTTTATCTCGGAAACGGCGGAAAATGTCTAATCGGTCATAACAATCATTTTGAAAAAACTTTTCGAATGCCCACTTTTCATTCTTCTGGTTGGTAAAACTTTCAAAAGGGGAAAACTGTATTTTTTCAGATCAGTTTTATCAGAAATTCCTAACCTATAAAATGATAGAACGAAAAGTCCGAGCATCTCACATGTCGCAACCGGCAACCGGTGCAACCACAACAGAGGTTTATCAGAAATTCCCAACCTTTAAAGAAAAATCACCAGAAATAATCCGAATATTTTATATCTTGCAACGGTCGACAATATCCGATCACTCATGAGAGTTCTTTCTATTAATCGTCCAGAAAACTGATTTTTTTTCTTAAAGTTCCAGGAAATTTTCTGGCCTCTGAAGAGTTAAACACGAAACTTGATAAATTGTTTGCATTTTTCCTTGTAGCTCTCAAACGATCAGAACCAGCTCATCATTCGGACCTTTTTTCGAACCATTTTGCGCATTTGCTAGGATCGGAAATTCCCAAGCTCTTAGATGTAGAAGCAAAAATAATGGACACAGTTCATACGTCCGAAACGATTGAAATGATCTGACGAGCCGAAAGAACTATTTTGCTAGATTATTTTGAACACTTATCTATTTTAAAGTTGTTCGAAAAATCCTAACCTCTAAAGAGATGGAAGCAAAGATCTCATTCTTGGAAACGATCGAAAATCCCAATAAAGCCAAAATTTGATTCTTTTTCGAACATTTTCATCTGTATCTCGGAAACGATCGACGCTACTAAAATAGTCATCAGAATATTTTTGAACGAGCACATTATGAATTTATTTTGTCAGTTTAGTTTTATCAGAAATTCCTAACCTATAAAGTGATAGGGATCAAAAAAAATTGCATCTCACATGCAAACGGTCGAAAATATCCGTTTAGTCAATAGACTTATTTCGGTTGAGCGTCTAGAAAACTGATTTTTTTAAATTGAGCGATCATGAGAATTATTTTGATCGAGCGTTTCTAAGACTATCTTTTTCTTTTTAAGGTTGTACCAAATTTTCTAACCTTAAAAGTTGGAAAGCCAAAAATTGAGAAATTCTTGTACATTTTCATCTGTATCTCGGAAACGGTGGAGATTATTTGATTAATCATTAGAACATTTTCAATAGAGAATCTTACAAACCTTCCTTTGCTTTTCAGTTTTGTCAGAAATTTCTAACCTCTAAAGAGAAATAAGGAAAAATAATTAAAACAACTGATTTCTCGGAAATGGTCCTAGATATCCGATTGGTCATGATAATTATTTCGATAGAGCGTTTAGAAAGCTATTTTTTTCTTCGTATGGTTGAATCAAATTTTCTAACCTTAAAAGTGGCAAAGCAAAAAATTGATGAATTCTTGTACATTTTCATCTGTATCTCGGAAACGATCCACATTTTTTAATAATGATTATAACGTTTTTAATAGAGAATCTTGCGAATCTTAGAAGTTCTTAACCTCTAAAGAGACAGAAGCAATTGTTAAATAGTTGAAAGCGAGCCCAAATTAAGAGGTCTGTGTATATATAGTGCTTGTTGGCACAAATTTTACAGCTTTTAATATCAGTTTTGCTCTCAGTCTGGCGAAAAAACGTCTGTATTTTGAAGAACCGATGAAGTTTTCCATACGCTATCTTTTGCCGCGGGTGTTCATTAAAAACAGGCAATGGATTTAGAATATCGACCCAAAGTGGCCAAGATTTTAAGCAAAGTCATGCTCTCAGTAACAAATTTCAATCAAATAATTACGGCATTCTTATATGCTCAGCAGAATTTTGCAAAACTTACAAAAAACTGGAACGATTGCCTATTTTTTTTCTAAAAAGATTCGTTTTTCGTTTCTAAAAATGTTTTTTAAACACCTTTTTTTTGTCAGAGAACAAAAACGTCTCAGCTGAACGAACTCTACTGCGGCTTCAAGGGAAGCTGCAAGGGACAGAGCAGGGCAAACCAACCAGTATCGAGCAACAGGTTGGAGCCCTAATTCAGCAGGCAATGGATCCGGCCAACCTTTGTAGGCTTTATTTCGGCTGGCAACCGTATTTATAGTTTTTTTTGTGGATGTTTTTATACGTTTTTTTGCATTTTCTTCTTGTTATTTGATAAATTAAGCGAATTTTTATGGAATTAGCCAGGCACATTCATTGTGTGGGTGTGCCTGATAACTTCCCACAGTATCCGGCAATAATCGCAGGTTTGGCGGACCAGCAGCCGAATTTAGCCAGTGGAAGTTAACAGTTTTTCCATTGAACATGCCGATTGTTAATAAAGTGTTTTTCGTATTCTGCGGTCTGCTTTTAACGGCTGTGGCCAACAAAACCCTCAGCCGAGTGCGGCGGATAGTCGGAGGCGAGCCAGCCAATTTTCCACCGTACGACGATCCGGTGGTTTACGTGCGGTTTAACGGAAAATCGGCGAGAGTACAAGGAGTGAGGGAATTTCCTCATTATGTGTTCAAAGGCATCAAGTATGCCCATCCTCCAGTTGGCGCCGATCGGTTTTTGGTAAGTCCCTGAGAAAGTAAGCACGAAATAAAATTTCTGGGATTTTTGGTAGCGCCCTAAAGAGAAACTCCTGGACGGAAATGTGCGGGCTTCGCTGTTCCCTAAGCCCTGCATCCAGCCGGTTCCGGGAAAAGATACGATTGTAGGGTCGGAGGATTGTCTGGCGTTGAATATTTTTACGCCGGATTTGCCCACAGGCACTGAAGGTTAGTAGGAAATTTTCTCGCAAAAAATACTTTTCTTCAAAAAATGCCCTCCTTGAATTACGTTTGTTGTTTAGGCCTGCCTGTTATCGTGTGGATTCACGGCGGAGGGTTCCGATATGGATCAGCCTCCCAATACGGGGTGAGTAACTGAAACAACATCCACGATATACAGAGTCAAAATCAATTCCTGGGCTTCAGTCCTTTATTGTCTATTTATCAATTAAAATACGTTTCGGTGTTTTCCACCATCGTCAGTTTCTCTAAAATAAAAGATAGTAAGAAAACGTTTTCATTAATTCAAAAAACAATCACAGTTCGTCAACAGCTTCATCATATCACACACTAAAATACATCACAATTGCAACACTTTTAAACATTCTAAGATTAATTAGGCCTAACAGATGATTAGTCAGGACAATTAATTCTGGGAAGAGACTAGAATTCTTTGTTCAAATACTCAATTATTTTTACTTACATGTGTAGCGTTGTTGCTACTTTAAGCCTTGGCATATATTTGGAGTATTAATTTTGTCCATTTTGCACACAAAGCGAAATACTGTTTATATTGATTTCTTTTACTTTCAGCTATTTTTCTTTGTATTCTAAGAATATTACTTTTGGTTTGCAAAATTCTTCAATATACCGGGTGTTAGTTAATATTCTATGTTTATTTCATTTAATTAATGTATGATATACTGAGC